TAAAGCGTACTGGAAGAAGGTATAGCATGGTTCTCTATGCAGAAAGCGAATTTCATGCAATGTAAGAGCCAAGGGTCACTCTATTCACCTCGATCAGTGCTTGTGGCCGCCGCCATGTTTCTGGTCGTGACAGCAAGAACGTGCATTGCTAAGCCTGCAAAATTTACTTCACGCACAACCTGAACATGCTTGCACGTATCAGGCATCAATCGAGACACGTGCGTGTTTGTTTCGTTGACTGCACGCCTCCTAAATATGTGAGGGGATTCGCATGCGTTCTAACTACCTTTCTTTTTCATACCACGTAGCCCAAATCGTCACCTTTGCTTCTAGAATGTTAGGAATCATATCACGCCTGACGCGTGATTTTTTTAATCCGCTGTGTATCATTCGATTGTTTTGTTCTTTGGTTCGTGTTAGGCTCGAGTTTTGTAGTGTTGCATGGAATCCGCTGACGGTAACTGATGCAGGAAGAATCGAAAAGTTCGGAGACGTATTTATTCATATTGTGTATGACAGATGTTTTCAGAGATGTTTTTTTGACTATTCATACATCCTTGAAAAGCTTTCTTTACGCGACGTGACGAAAAGAAAAACTGCTCGTGACCTTTTATTGTTACATAAAGTGGTTCACGGACGTGTAGATACTAATTTGTCGTCATCATTAAAATTTCATGTGCCGGCTCGTGTTTCTAGATGTTCACGCATATTTTACCCATCTATTGAAGAAAAATTGGCACCATTAATAAGGATGCAGAACTGTTTGAATAACCTGTCTCCTCATGTTGACGTATTTTCAGATTTGTCTGTTTTTAAAAGGGAGCTCGAGTTGCATCTTTTTGGCTTAGTCTGCATGGCATTCTCGTCGGATGTGATTATAAACCTAGACTGTGTTTTGATTTTGATTTATGTGCTACCACATTCTGACTGGCTGGTTGTTATGGGGCATCAAAGAAAAAAAACATTACTATTATTACTATTTTTTGCCATATAGTTATCATGGTGAACCGAGGAACCTTGGAGTTGTTTTTGATTCAACCCTGAGATTTGACACTCACGTTACGAGAGTGGTTCAATCGGCCTTGCGCACGTTAGGTGCCGTGTCTCGCATAACGAAGGAATTCAAAAGCCCGTCCGCTTTTTTCACGCTGTACTGTTCCTCAGTTAGATCCCAGCTAGAGTACGCCTCCTTTGTTTGAAACGGCATTTTCAAAACTAACAGTTTCTCTGTCGAGCAAGTCCGAAACAAATTTATTTCTATCTTTAAATATCGTTACCTTGAAAAAAGTGATCCTTGTTTAAACTTTGCGTGTAACTCGCAACTCGTTGAGCCTGCAGCAGCGTCGGGTGAAGGCAGATCTGTTGTTTTTGTTTAAGACCCTGCACGGCTCGATTAACTCTCCCAGCCTTCTGTCCGAAGTGAGCCTCAGAGTTCCACGTGTGCCTACACTGCTTCAATCATCTTTTTATATAGCTCGACATTTTAGCCACTTAAACCCGATCCAAAGATCGGCTGAGTGTTATAACCGCTACTCTGACACAATTGATATTTTTAACTCATGCGGGAACAAGTTCGGAAATGCTGTTTGAAACTTGCTCTTGCAGGAAAAGGGCCGATCAGTTGAAGCGTTAATGTAGTATTTGCTTTTTGCTCTCACGCCTGGTGATGTCTCTGTTTTGTGCTTTTGATTTCCCTTGTTGATTTGAGTGTCTTTCATACTTGTTAATATTTTCATTCTGAGACTGGTGAACTACGTTCTCCTTCTGCACTCGTGTGTATATGTGTTTTTGCTCATTTTTTTTAATGTGGCAGCACTAAGACCGATTGGTTTTTCCTGGACACTTTAATAAACACTAATTCATTATTATTATTATTATTATTATTATTATAACAGCAGGTTGTGTCTTAGTCACGAGTAGCGACGAATGCGGCCACGACGCGCTCGTAATTTACTTTTTTTTTTTTTTTTGGGGGGGGGGGGGGGGAAGAAGTGGTTGCGGAGCACTGCAAACAAGCTATCAATACGTCGTATCGTTGTTTTTTAGAACTCGTTCATTGCGCGTGCCTTGTGCGTCAGCAAAATGGAGATCGTCGGTGCTTAGGAACGCGAAGAGAACATTTTGTCAATAGCATTTTACTCCAAGCTGTAGAGTACTGAACGATCATTGCCCTAAACAGTCCCAACTGGAAGAGAGTGCTCTTATCGTCGGTAGCTGGTTCCAGGAGCGTGTCATACTGACGTATGATGGAGCACAATGGAACGTTACGGACCATCTACTGTATATTCAAGTAAATGCGTCTTGACAACATTTAGTACTCTGAGGGTCCTCCAGAGTTTCGTGTACCTGCACTCGAACTAATCTCTTAAGAGGGCGTTTTCCTCAATCTGAGAGTGCATGTAAACACCATGCATGTCTGTCTGCTTAAGTGAAATGTGATCTCGAGAAACGTTTCCCGCTCCATATCTGCGAGACAAAAGGCCCCTAGAAGACTACCTGGGATAAACATGTGCAGCAGTCACACGGCCAGTGCAGTGCTCAAAATTTTATTTCAGACAAGCAACCGAGAAAGTTGAATTCACGCTACAGGTAAATCGTATAGAATAATCCAGCAGGGAAAAAAAAGACTAATTTTTTTTTTCTTCGAAACATCCTTAACGGTGGAGTTTCATTCGGAGTTACAAACCGTGTTTACCAGCACTATATACGTTCTGCTTTTGAACATAGCTATTGTCACTGACCGTCACTGCAGAACCTACAGCAGAACAGCATTTTTTTTTGTTGGTATCACGGGATGCAAACAACTTTTGTTTTTTGTGAAATGTAGCTGAGGTCATTAAAGTGATTGACCACAAAGACTGACTGCCTCTGCATAACACTCTGTACCACCAGTCCCTGTTCGGAACGTCCTTGTATGCGTCTTAGAACATCAATTATTAATATTCACTTTTGTGCATTGCACATGACTGTCTAACATGATGCCTGGCGAGACTAGGAGACGCTACAAAGCATAGAAACCTATCAAAGTGAAACAAGGACCGTGGCATGGCGTCGGGTGCACAGGAGCCGACCAGAGATATACCAAAAATCATCCTAGCTATACAAATAAATGTAATACTGCTATGTACAGGCCCTTCAAAGGTGTTACGCACACACTCACGCACATGACACACATCCAAAAAAAAGAGGGCTAGAACCACACTGAGACGCGCTCTTCACGACTGTAGGTTTCCCTCTCGCAAAAATGTCCAGCATGCATACTAAAAAAAAAGACAGGAGAATTATGGCACTAGAATTGTACACAGCTGTAGATGAAACTGTACACTTGTGCACAGAACATTTCTCAATTAGGTGTTACGAGGGATGACCGCGCGAGTCGGTTCGCTATGGGTGTGTGTGTACCCACGTGTGTCAACTATTGTGTTTCGCAGACTGTTAACCGCTATATAAATAGATGGCTAAGAAGCATCGCAGTTATGACAAAAAACAAACGCTCGAAATAATGGTTTCAAATATGCTATACGAAATACATCAAAATGGTATTAGATATCTACTTTCTGGTTGTGTGTGTGTATGTACGCATGCTTGTTTTAGCGAACCTCAGTCACACGCCGGTGTTTCCTAAAACATCGCTCGCTCACACTTCAGTAATGAGATGCATGAGCACAGAATGATATTAACTCCAACGTGGAATGGAAAGAAGAACTGCATGCTCTCTCGTGATAGAAGTAAACGTAATGCAAAAATATCGAGTTTAAAGCTTCGCGATACTAACGAAGGAAAAAAAGTTGAGTTTAAGAACCGGTTAAGCGCCATCCGGCCTTTCTTGTTTTCAGTTTTCAATTACGGAGCACTGACACAGGAACAAGGCACGTCTTGATATAGCAATAGCGGAAAGTGCGCGCGCGACGTTTTGTTGACAATATAATGAGCCTTGTTCATGAGCAGTTTCTACCAATCTGTTTAGTTATTTCAACCCTAGATGACTCAACCGGAACTTTACGAACCAAAGTCTTTAAAAAATATTGCATTAACTCTAAGCAACAAATCCTAAGTTTGAGATCGATAAGAGCGAAAGTTAAATAACTTTCATGCACGCAGAGCAACTTTTAAACAATCAAACACCCGAATCAATGACAGTTTACCTGACAAAACTTCCACGAGTAGTGAACAAAAGAACACCCAAGACTCAGTGGCACAGCCAACCTACATGGTAAATGCACTCCCAAAAAATGCCGTTTGGAGAAGTATCGCATTCATTCTAGCCACCTCATATATGTGTATATGTATAATATTTATATTTATATATATATATATATATATATTTATATATATGTATAACGTTGTTGAAACAGCTTTCCTTTTCTTTAACCTTATTTATTCAGTGATCAATAGTTTGTACTTCGTGGTCTGACTGTTCCACAAACTGTCAGAGCTTGGTAGGAAGCAAACCATACAAACTAAATTCAAAGGGTCTATAAAAAGATAAAAACTTCCTGGGTCGTCCTAATTGTAAAACAACAACAAAATAAATTAAGGGGTTAGACCGGAAGATGGGTGGCTGGGATTTGTTTGGCTTTCGGAATCTATCCTAGCTGTAAAGAAAGGACACTAGAGTCTTTTACTGGAACAAGTAGGGCCCCTGAAGAGTCATGTGGAAAGCATCGCTTGCCAAGCTTGTTCACGCGCCGAAATTGCTGCAATGTCACAAATTAAAATAATTACCTGAGGAAAAAAAAAAAGTTTTCTGGGACTGAAAATACGAGTAATTTGTCCCAAATGTGGTTGAATACCTCGGCCACTGGAGAAGATCAAAACATGGACATTATCCGTAATTCCTAGCGTCCGGGCAGTTCGAAACGCAGAACTATTCGAGAAAATGGTATATCGTGCCGGTATTCTAAAAATGTAACTCTTTAAAATACATTGAGGCTGTATAAAATGTCTAGAAGCGTTTGCCTTACAAAATATTTGGACTAACCTTTTTTGCGCGAGTTATGGCTAAACATTTTCAACGCCGTAATCTCATTAAGTGTTTAAACAGCACTAGCACCCGTCACTTTTCAAACATAATATCTAGCGAATCAAAGCACGTTTACTAAGCCCTTTTTCTTCTGCGTGCGGTCTGCATGTTGATGTAACGCAATGCTGAAGAAACGTGTAACTGATAATTAAAAAAAAAAAACTCTCTATCTATATATATGATATAATGCTCGGGAATTGATTTGTTGTCAAGGAAAAGAGAAAACAAATCTCATTTAGGACTGGACGACGTGATGTAGAGCCAACTCGCATACACGTAATTGCATTAAATTATTAGCCTCTTGAAAGTGTACTTGATAATATAATTTAACACAACCAGTCGGTGTAACGCAATTCAAAATTTTACGCTTGAAAGCACCAGATCAATTCTATATTAATTTACGCATACCACTCGTACATATAAGCATGCGAATGCTGCTTTCTACACAACAGCCAGCAATTACCAATGCACCGCGGTGGAAAAGACTCCCGAAGGACGAGGCAAGGGGTTCCGCTGCAAGGGTTTGCTTGATTTACTCCTCAAAAACTGTGTTCTGCCATCACGTGAAGAGAAAGACTGTCGTTCCTTTCTAAGCATTCCTGCAGGCGTGGGAGGAGCGGTACAAATTTACACAATCGAAACAAAAGGAGCAAAATCATATTTTGTTTCCTCATACATTGCCTTTTGCGGCTATATTGCAATTTTTTGCTTCCTCGTTACCTGTCATCTGCGAGCACCTCCGCAACTAACCACTAATCTACCGCTGTACTAGGTATAAGTCTAGTACTAGCCTACCAGTGTTAAGTAGAGTAATAGACACGAGCAGGCAGGAATGTAGGACTCAGTTATATGATCCTTCAGCTGAAACCCCTGCAAGCAGCCAACTTAGTGGCAAGGCAAATATTTCTCCCATTTCTCAGTCTCTCTCTCTCTTTCTTGCTTACATTATTCAACATCCTCGCAATAAAGCAGGCAAATTGCAGCCTTCCTAACTCAAAAGAAATTGGGTCGAAATCCCTGGTCGGGAACCGTAGCTGTGGAGACTTTGTTTTCAAACAAGAAACGTAAAAGAGTGGAAGTCCACAGCAATCGTCTTGAAACTTAGTCCCTTACAGAAGCAGCGAGGCTGGGGAAAGGACAGGGAAAAGGCGCGAGCGAGCGACTCGTTGACCGTCTCGACTAAATCTAACTCGTCTTCGCCCTCCGTGACACGCGACAAAAAAGCGAGACTCATTCCGGCTACGCTCGAGCAAATACAATAGCTTTGCTTTTTCCCCGCCGCTTTGAAAAGACCACGCCCCACAACCAGCCGCCCGTCACAAATCGCGCTCCGTTTCCAACCATGCGCGAGCACCCACTACCGCGGTACAGCGGAGTGGTAGTAGTAGTAGTAGTAATAGTAGTAGTAGTAATAGTAGTAGTAGTAGAAGCCTATACATTACGAAGAAGGTGAAGAAGTGTCCCGCACAAGCGAAGCTTCCAGGAGACTCGGTGAACTCAGCGTAGACCATTTCTTCTTCGGAAGGGAAACAGAAACAAGCATGGAGCACCCCGGTTTCTTCCTCACGCTGCTGGTGCCCTGATCTTTCCAAACCTCACAACCACTCTTCGTTTCGGTACAAAAAAAAAGAGAAAAAAGAAATCAGCAACGTTCATCTGGCGTCCCGGGTACCCAGAGAGTGGACAGCACCGCAGCAGCAAGCACGGAGGAATGCCAGGAGAAAGTTATAGGTCACAAGTCTCTCCCAGCGTCGCCGTTGCGATCCGCGGTTGCTTCCGCCGTCGATGGTCGCCGACGACGATGCGCTGCCGACTTCGGCGCTTGCCTCGACAACGGAATGTCTTCTCCGGGTCGCCGTGGACGTCGCTACTGACGCCGTTGCTCTGGTCTTCGGCTGAGGCCGCCCCCGTCAGTCTTCGGACGACTTCTCGCCGCTCGACGACGCCAGCATGGGCTCCGTGTTGCGACGCTTCATTTTACTTTTTCTGAGCATAGTTGCCTGCCACGTGAAACGTAGTTGTGCCGAGTGGGGTGTTGTTTTGTTTGTGTTGTACGTCGGATGTGGGTTGTTGTCATTGACGTCATTGTGTTTGTTGTTGTGGGTGGTGATGGTGGCGGTATGGATTTAGATCGGTGCGATGGAGGCGGGTTTGGGGAAAGGAACGAGAGGAGGGGAGGAGGAGGGATGTGTAGGGAAGAGGTTGGCAGTGGGGTGTGAAACGAAACAGAAAGGTTGGGGAGCGGGAAGAAAGGCGAAGGAAGAGAACAGTGAGTGGGAGGTTACAAAAGTAACCTCCTCGTTCTTTTTTTTTTTTTTTTTTAACGCGAACAAGGCGAGCAAGTGACCTGACGGTAGGCGACAAAGAAAATGTCACCTATTCCGCACTACGGAACCGCGCCTCGAACTCTTGGAATAAACTGACTTCACTATCGACACTCGCTAAAATGAAAACAAAGGGTAAACAAAGCCCCATGATCGTTCTCACTTCTTCTTAAATTCAATAAAGCTCTGCAAAGATGACCGACTGCTAATTTAATTTAGGTTTCCAGTTTCTAACACGAGCATTAGAAAATAAATTAATCTGCTCATTAACTCTCATGTATGGTAATGCGAACCTTTAATGGCTTAGAATTCATTAATTGTTAGATACAAAAACTGGCATGTCAGTTTTTACTTCGCAAAGCACTGGAATGCATCTCAAGGCTCGCAGTCAGCTGTATAAACGATTTTTATATCCAGCTAATCTAACGACATGTTGATCGTTTAGTAGTTTATTCAATATGCATGTCTAAACGTTCTTAATATTGAAAAAAACAATTGTAGAATAATTTAGTGCCGCTACTGTTAAGCTGCTTTCACTGTCAGTTGCTTAGCAGTTCTCGAATTCTTTTTAGGTTCGAAACATTGAAATATTTACAGCTTACGTTTGACTGTAAAGGCAGTTACAAAAGTACAAATTATCAGACAAACTAAAGGGTCTGTCTGTACCTTTGCAAATTCACTAAAAACAAGAGCGCATGCATCACAAAGAATTTGTTGTAATAAGCTTGTTCTGTTTGCATATATAGTATAAAGATCTTAAAATTTATTCAACCTTTGCAGTTCTTATGGGAAAAGAAGGAGGAACCAAGTCCACACCTAGGTTTGGGGAGCATGCTGCATGTGCCGAGGTGCAGTCAAAAAGGTGCAAGCAGGCAAGTCTTAGTAAGCATTCAGCTTGCACAAAAACAATGTGCACGAATTGTTGCTCCATTAGATACTTTTGCAACATGCTTTCATCAAACATAAACAAAAACATTAAGGTGCAGTTTTCACACCAATCTGTATGAATATAAAAATGTACTTAAACAAATTGAAAAAAAGAGAACTCCACCTTAACGCAAAGGGCTGGGGAACCAAAATATGGTGCGTCCTGTGTACGTCACAGCACCCGTGACTGACTGCCGTAATTTTGAAAAACTGGAGGCATGTGACACTAGGTTCTTGCTACTAGTATTAGTCATAACAAAATATTTTGCACTTATAGTCCTAACAGGCACAATGCATTTAAATCAGTGTCAACCCTCCTGAAAGATATACAAGAAGAATAGCTATAAACAGACCACGGAAGTTAATACTGAGAAAGTAAGAATATTTTGCGATCCGAAGAGTGGGTTCACTCAGAAAGAATAAAACACTCGAATGGATGAAGGACGCACATTCACAGTTATTTCAGCGAGCAACGACACGTTTATATGATGACCATCGCACTACGAATACCACTTTGGTCACGGAAGAATTGCAGGAAAACAAAAACACTAAAAAAAGAAAAGAAAAAGATAAACATTTCTAGTATTTTCGTTTAAAGTCAGCTCTCTTTATCTTTACCTTTTCTAGTATCGCTTTTTTACGATTTTTGTTTATATTCAGCTATCTTTATCTTTATTTTTTTCGAGTATCTGTTTCTAGTACTTTCGTTTTCCTTCAATCCTTCTGTGACCAAAGTGGGTATCACATAAAATAGGCATCATATAAACGTGTCGTTTCTCGTTGAAAAAAACTGTGAGTGTCTGTCTTTGGTCCAGTTTAGTGTTTAATTCTTTCTGTGTGAACTATAGTTTACCAACGCGCTCTGCAACGTGTAGAGAAGAGTGGGGCATTCGTACATTCGGACTGCCTTGCAAGTTTTGTAAACGCCTCAGAGAAAATTGACGTAATCAAGGGTTTGCGATATGTGAATTCTTACTTAAAAGCACAAATAACAAAGCATTTATTTTTTGTTTTTTATATGAAAATTTTCGCAACGAACAATCTGAGGGACTACTTTCTGAGAATAAATTATATACTGGTTATCCCCAGTGCTCTTGTTGGAGCGCGCAATTTACTGTGTGACGCTCACGTACGATGGTGTGTACGACGAAGGCGGGACACTTACTTTGAGGGCTGACCTGAGCACAACAACTTCGCCGGGACCTTGAATCCAAGGCTCCCCGTCCACTTGAACGGGCATCTCAGTGTTTAGTCTGATCCGCAACTGCAGTGGGAACAATAAAGATTGGTGAAAACAATGCTCCTCTGCCACCTTGCATAACGTTTAAAGGTTGAAATAACGTTTTATGGTAATAATTCACATTCACTAGGTGAATCGGTCAAGAATGTATTCCGCAAAGACTCAAGGCGTTACTTAACCTATTTATGTTTCTCTAGATATATTTGGCAATTTAGCCCAGTCCAGAATTGGTAGCAGATAATTGATTCAGCTACGTTTAACCAAGTCAACACGTCCAGTGCCGTCGGGTTTAAGCAGCCACGTTAACCGATATGCTGAATCCGCAGTGATTGCTTTAAAACTGTGAATGTGTACGTATCGTCGAAAATTTTGGCACTCGGTAGTGATGAATCAAAAACGAGAGAAATAGTACTGAATTCGGGTGACAATCGTGCCGATTTACCGTTGAACTTCCGTGTAAGATTAGACTTTTTAAATAACTTCCGACAACACTAATTGTCCTTGACAAGTGCACCAATAGAAACCTAATGACTATATAATTGCGAAATGTGGAATAAACATTCAAGTGACGATATGAAATATTTAATACATTTGCTTTTTGGCGCCCTACTTATGCTAATAAAAGTAAGTTACAGCATCTGTCTTTGACTGAAATGTCAATTGACAGTTACTGTTTTGGGGGATATTCTGGTATTTCAAGTAATGCATAACACAAGCAGTTTTAATATTTTATTCATTTAAATTTGTGGTTTTATCTTTACAGATGTAGCAGGAATTCACATTCTTGCTACCCTTTCGCTGACCACGCACAAAGGAACGATTTCTGACATGAATAAATATTCACAGTAAGCAAAACGCAGGAATCAAATTAAGCTTGCGTATTTTTTATGATCAGATGTCTACTAAATTTTTTAAGCGATAGTGATAAAATAATGTATTTCTGCACGCCAATGTAAAGGGATGGCATCTGCTGTTAGGGTCGATTGCGTCAGTTCGTTACCGAAATACCAAACGAACTTTCTAAACTTTCTTTATAAATTTCACTGATATAGTTGGTTGACTTTGTGTATAGGTAATACAGCGACTTTGGGCAACGTGTTACATGAGGCATAATTAAATTTCCTGAACGAAATGTAAGGTGTCAGTGGCATGTTCGCGGAAGTGAGTTATGCGTAAACTATGTCTCGGCAAAGCAATAAAGCACGTGGTTTTAAAATTACGCAAGGCGTATCGTCATTATAAATGCTTGGAATTAAAATCTTAGAGACCTATTTTCCCAATTTTAGGTTCAATACATTGAAGGACTGGCAATAATAGAGCAGAAAGAATTAGATTTCCAAATTTGGAAATAAAAAAATTTAATGGGTCAATGCCTTGACAGAGCGAAGAACAAATTCTCCCAAAGATGATTTCAAGATTGGGCGCATCCTGACAAAATGTCATACATGGAAGTTCAAAAAAAAAGTTACGTTTTGAAACATAGAATTTCAAAAACAAAGTTTTATTCCCATTAAAATGTGCTTGTTAATTATGTTTGAATTTCTTGTTATCAAAAATAATAACGCCAGACGTCATAGTATGCAAACTTGCCACATGATTACGCCGTTCTATCATACTGGCGGCACCATGTGTACGAAGCTGACGGAAACAATTCGGTTAGACGCAAGCACGAGAAGAGATAAAAAATAGCCGGAAGCAGGTTTCACGACGGTTTCAAATAAGTAAAATCATCAGCGACTCAAGTCTTGATTTACTGAAGGATTAAAAAAAGTAAAGCTTTTTCCCCAACTAAAAAGATCAAGCTACTTTTTCTTCTAACAAAGACAATGGCATGGTTTGGATCCGAAATGGAAAGTTTATGCTTGAACCATACTTTACACTACAGTTAAATTTACACTGAATTTTTTTCCGCATAGTTTTAAATGATCGAGCAGATTCACGAATTTAAAAATCAACCTGCCATGTTTAAGAAAACACTTGTGGTAACAAAATCAGTCCAGTTTAATTAAGTTATTTAAATAATATTAGTGTAACTTAAATAAAATAAATTTGACTCGAATATTTTTTAAACAAATTACTTTTGTCTGCCCTATTTAAAACACTTCCCGCGTCGGTCTCTAGCAGTGTTTTGTTCAATGTCTACGACGGAACAACTACTTTGGCAGACCAGCGTCGGTTGTCGCACTCTTAAGATAAAAAATCTCAGTTCAATTTTTTTTGTAGAGTACGGAGGCGTCCAAATCATGGTGAACAAAAAGGTGATACCAACGAATGACGAAGCACAGAACAAAGTTAGACATGAAAAAAAAGCGATGTGCGAAGGGGCAATGAGAATGACGTTTCATTCACACAGTTTGCCTCCGCAGATCTCGTTTTCGAGATTTAATCGAATTCTGAGATTCGCCATTTGGTGGGACCCGTCTGTAGTTCGCCGTCAGTGGCGCTGCCTCCATGTTGCGCAGAAAAGCAAACACACAGTCTCTTTTTAGGGTGCAGCATAATTACACCTGTTTACACCTATAACTACTCTTTAAATGATTCAGTCAGATGTATTCGTCGGAAATGTTCCCATTGCGAGTGCGTGCTAGAGCAGCGTTAAAAAAAGAGAGGCGAGTAAATAAAGTAGCTCACATGACCACCCTGTGCGATGCGGATGGCGCTGCGCAGCCCGCTCTGGATCTGACCCATGTGCACGACGCCCGTGACGCCGACGATTTCGAGCATGCCGTCGTAGTGGGTCGGCTTTGAGAACATGTCCTCTTTCTCGGGGCCCCATGGATTAGCACCGGAACCCCAACTAAGTAGGAGAGACACAAGACAGCCGAGTGAGCATTCTGTGATGTAGAGTCAAAACTATGCGCCTTTAAAAATAAGCTAAATCCAGAATAGTTCTGACTTAATTTGCTCGTAATAAATTGATAAAATTTTGATTGATAAAAGACGTTTACAAATCTGTGTACTGCGAAAATAGAGCGCAGCTCTTAAGGTGGAGGAGGGGAGGGTACGGAAATGAGGGTATGAATCCTCCGCCTCCATAACCTCCTCCCCTCCTACACCCCTTCTCTCCTCCTACACTGGCCTCCTCCTCTCCTCCTTCCATGCTCCTCGCCCTCCTTTCCTCGTCCTCCTCCTCTTTCTTCCCTCCTCCTTTCCTCTTCTCCTCCTGCCACTGAATTTGTTCGTCGGTGACGTGACACGAAGTCATGACGTCATATTCCCCTCTACATTTAGCGAGGAATCTGAATTGGTGTTGAGGTTACGTGACGTCCAATTCCCAGCTAAATTTAGAGGATAAATTTCTCCGCTTAATTTTTGCGGAAAAATTTCCCCGTTAACTTTAGCGGAAAAATTTCCCCGCTAAATTTAGTGGGAAAATTTCCTCGCTAACTTTAGCAGGGAAACGTCCCATAATGCAACGCAGGCGGCTACGCCGGCGCCGCTCAATCCGAAATTGGGCGCCTAAGAGCTGCACTCTAAAAGCAGCGCCAAACGAACCGACCAGCAGTGGCTCTGAAAGGTACAGGGTAATTAATTGCCTTGGACTTCAGAATCATCCAAAACACTGACGGATTAAAGAAGGTTGAGGCGTGTCATGTAAAGCAATAGCTTTATGTGTGCGTTCGCTAACAATCAAACAAATATCGTCGGAGTCTTTATTGCAATCACAAACACTAGCGCCTGTCTTATTTACTTCTTTCATCAGTCCGTGTGCTTTGTGCGCTGTCTTTATATTTTACAGACAAACTAATAGTTATGGCTGAAGTACAACATAGGCAACGACGACCTTTTCGAAAAAGTATGTTCCATGGCTACTCTAACATTTCTGTCCTTACACTGGCACCGCAAGATGTATGAATACAAACAAAACAAGCAAAGTTTAAAATGTACTAGATACTTGGAATAAAGTAACAAATTTCACATGAATAGTTCTAGAAGTTTTTGTCTTCTTTTAAATTTGGATCTAACACGAATGACGCGTCAATTAATCCGAAGTATAAAAAAGGAAGTGTATCCTATCAAAAGTTTAGGCCTAATTCACTTATTCACCATTGCACAATAAAAAAAAAAAAAAAGAAAACAGCTTTTGCACAATATTTTGTTCGAAAGAGTGAGAAGGCTTCCCACCTGAGAATATTGAGAATGATGATCCCCTCCACCGGAGGCAGATCGATCACTTTCCCGTCCACTTCCAGGCGAACCTCTTTGTGCAGATCCTTCCAGGTCTTCCTGCTCACCATTTTGCGAAGCCCCATTTTCACGTACACACCCTTGTTGTGCAGTCTGCAACGTGTACGTTCCTCCACATGTAACACATTCCACACAATATCTAGGAAGTTAACCGACTTGAGCTTAACATGCCGACCAGAACTACGGCTCTGGGAGTAATCAATAAAATGCAAACTGTCTGACTCAGCACCGCGTTTTCAACAATATCGGTTTTCCCGCCAAAACTTCCGACGGCAGTGGCTGTTCACGCCCCTTGTTTCTTGACCCGTTCACCGGCGTTCTTATCGGCGAATGCTGCAATTTCATTAGGGTGTTTTAGGGAATCTTTTTTGCACATCCGATACCGTACGATGGGCGTTTCGGTACGCACTGCGCATATGCGAGCTTTCTGTGGTGGCGCATGCGCAGTTCCAACCGGAGGGCCCATCGTACCGTATCGGATGTGGAAAAACGGTTCCCTAAAACTCCCTATTGGCTGCGGAGCGGTAACGATATGCTCGGGTTTGCGTTTTTTATGCTGTCAGTGACTAGAGTGTACAATCAGTGCACATAACTACAAGGTTTTCCCGCCAAAAAAACTAAAAAGTTTTCTCCCCACCAAAAATAAGCTACTCGTTGCCGAACTCTGGTTCTCCACCCCGATGTAGCGGCTAGCGGTTCGAAACAGATGCCAACTTTTCAAAACTCACCGTTTTCTCATCCACGATATAAATGATTTTATGAAAATTTTAAATGGAAAATTGGGGTCCGTTTTTGCTTGTTTTCGTTATCTTAGGCCATTCAGCTTTGTGTATTCGAGAGTTCTGTCGGCCGCCATTTTTCAAATGAAAATTTTAAGAAATCACTTATAACTTGTAAATGAATTAACGGATAGTTCTGAATGTATGGCATTTGGTTCGAACCACTATAGCTCTATATTTGGGCGAAGAATGATTGTTCGGTGATGCGTAATTTATTTTTGCGGTAAAAAGAAAAAAAAAATTGTCAATATTTTTGTTTACACTTTGTATTTGGTTTTGAGCCTTGTAGTTATCAAATATTTAGTCCCGTAACAGACCCGGTGGAGCTCTTTTTCTCGGACCAAGTATTGATCGATTGGCGATGGCTGAGCACGCATAATCATAAAAACGCTGTACGCTAACTGACTGCTGTATTTCGGTTAGAGAAAGCAAGTCACCGTACATTTCAACCTTATTACAGTGATAACTGGCCTAAAAATAAGAAAAAAGCGTTTGAAACGTTAGTGAGCTAGTATTTTTTAATTTCTCACCACTTGGTGCATTTACAATTGAAGGTGCTCGGTAACGTTGTGATGTACAACAACCAATATAACCCCAATAAAATGTTGGAACGTCTCCCCCCTCCAAGGTATACGTTCTGCCAATCACCAAGGACCATGGAAAGTGTCCAGCGAATCGTGACGTAAAAAACGGGCTAATTGCAAAACATTCTGCTCAGGGGCATTGAACAAGCGATAAGCCATGCTCACTTTTTTGCGCAAATTGTGTTCTTTAAATCAGCCTTCAATGTCTTGTCATTTGCTGGACCCTTTCTGTTAATCGCAATGATATGCCAGTGATTGATAACGCGCCAAACGTTTCATGATGCATGTGTCTCGCACCTTATGCACCTAAGCCAGCCACGATTAGCTAGAATAAACGACCGTTTACAAAAAAAAAAAAAAAATGACGACAGTGCACCACAATTTCTTCGAACTACGTGAAACCTCAATTAAAAAAAGACACTCTTCTTCCAAAGGGCACACAGCGTTTCAGACACCGAAGTCCACACCTAAATTTCTCATCTACAGCGAGTGACTCGTCGCAACTTCGGAATGGCTGACGAACTACACGCTGTCCAAACATCCATACAACCCCAATTATTATTATTATTATGACGTCCACACCATTCAGGCATTCTTGAAGGCACAATGCTCCTCGATGTACTGGACGCGGCAATGTGCCAGTCAATTTAAAACTGGTAATGTGCCAGTCACTTTAGTGGTAATGTGCCAGTCAATTTAAAACTTAAAATGCCGGATATACCATATGCGGCATTTTACCCCGGTTGTCTAGACACTAGTCTGGGCCAACTCATATTTACACGGACTGTGCTTAGAGCGCCATTCATTTACCTTATTTCAATAAAATTAGCCAATGAGCAGGGAGTGGTAAAGTTGTGCAACGGCTAAATGTTTTCAATAAGAAAAATGTGGACTTCCTTTTGCCAGCGGGAGAGCGCGTCCTTTAGACCACGAGAAGGCTTCAATTATCATTTAAAAAGCTGATTAATTGAAGATAAATGAACGGTGATACGAGTCACATGGCAGTGTAGTATGCACGCATACATTTAGCGCAACGGTAAGCACGGCCACTTCATGATGGAAGTCCTTTCATCGGGATGAAGTGGCGAAGGTACATAACGTGCGGTCCTCTGTATATTATTGAATGACTTCAGACAAAATCACTTTCCTACTCTTGATGAGTGTAAAGCCATCTCATCAGTGATAAATAAGTTAAATTTACATCGATATCCTGGAGGTCATCTATTGGCTCGGGCAAGTATCCAAGACTGCTTTTGCTGTGTCTAACGGTCTCCTACAGACCGGCATTTACCCTGCTCTCCTTTTCTTCGCCCTGCCGTGACTCGAGACTATATATAGATTCATTCATCGTTCTATTCCTGTCCCTCCGCTAAGCTTCCTCTAGCTGCCTCTCTTGAACCGAGAGTTACACTACACCAGGCTCCTGAGCTCAGACTAAACAGTGTTTAAAGCGAGGCTCTGTTTGTTACTCAAGGGGCGGCTTGCGGGAGGCAAGTGTTGCCTCGCCGGGAGCCCTTACCTGCTGTTGAATTTGTTTGGGTTCTCTTCGCGTGCGTTGTGGAAGTCGAGGCAGAGGTCTGCATCAATGCCAATGCCAAAGTAATTGTTCATGACGAAGATGGCCGTGTTGTCCTCGGACGTTGATCCCGAGCTGTTGGTCAACGATCCTGGCTTCTCCTCCGGCTTCTCATCCGAGTGGAAGACCACCGTCCACCTGCGGGTTCGGACCGTTCGGGAAATTACGTGTAGGTTCCTCGCAATGTAAGCTGTCTGTACACCTTTTTAACGCCTATCACCCAGGAGTTAAAATGTACCGAGTCGCTGAGCCGTGGACGCATGCTGATAGAAAGCTACTGCGCGTGTTGAGAACGCCATCTACAGCCCAGTCGAAAAAGAACGCAGGGCGCAGAAGACAAATATTGGACTGCCCTATTGTCGAGGGAAGGCTAAGAAAGGCAAGGTGTGGCAAGTCCCGGGCCTCTTGGACCGCAGCAAACGAGAATGCGGCATTAGCCCACAAGAAAGCCAAAGAACCAATCACGAGGTGAGAAGATGTTAGGCCACGCCCAGCATTCCTTGAGCTGTGAATGACTTAGCGAAAAAGACTGCTTTCATCAAATCGAATAAAATCACGTGAACGTTTAGCTGACGCCATTCGTTACAGGATGTGGGGAGAAAAGTAAAAAAAAGGACCACTAGAAATGTGTCTTTTCTGGGTTTACACGCCCTTACAAAATCATTGTACACTAGTAGCATTGCACTATATAACCAAGGATGTAGACCAGGGGTGCTCAAGCTGCGGCTCTTCGCGTGTTAAAGTGCGGCCCGCGGCTCCCCTTCTCCCCCCCCCCCCCCCCACTCCCCCACCTCCCTCCCTGTCACACGAGCACTTCTCCAAAAAGAGAGAAATGGAACGCGTTTTAAATCGAAAGACAGGTTGCAGTCTGGTAGTTTTGGGCTACTGCTATCTTACGTGCAGTTGGACTGCTTTTGACTCAGATAAATTGAAAGGTGTTTGAGTTTCGTTTCTATTGTTCTGGACAAAAGTTTGCCCCCCCCCCCCCCCCCCACGGCTCTTGAAAGTTTCGTGGTTTTGTTTGCGGCTCTTAGGCCGGGTCAACATGGTCACCCCTGATATATACCAACAAAATGTTGACAAGCAGGTCCGCGTTTACCCACACCACGTGTGGGCACTGGGCGTGCGCAGCAATCAGGTTCGCGTCAAGGGAAGGAATCGACAGATTTTGTACAGAAAGCATCTTGTGCTCTCTGCCTTTTGTAAACTCGCAATTTTGCCGCTGGCGACTTTAGCTTTGATTTATTTATAGGACTACTGTCGTGATAACATCAATTAAAAGGGCACCATCACCCTAATGTCTTGGTAATTTAAAAAAAAAACAATAGAGCAAACACCAGTGTCCTCCTCCTTTCCCAATTCAGACGGAATTTATTAGAACTCAATATGTCGAAAGAAACGTTTTTTACGAGTTCTTGCCTTGCGATTTCTTCAGCAGCCGTCTGAGGAAATCGGGTTATATTAATGGTGATATTTTCTGAAGGTGAGAATCCTGAGTTCAAAGCTTTATCTTTGGGAGTTGCTTCTGCTGGGCAAGAAATCATGTTGCCGACGTAGGTTCTTGTATCGTACATGGGATTAACACGACAAAAGGCTGAGGAAGCGAAAACTAAAACGAAACACAAGGCAAATTGAAAGAAAACAGCATGAACTATGTGGATAAGTTATAAGTTCAGTGCCCTGGGAATATCCGTGGGAATTCATGGGTATTACGGAGGAAGCTAAAGGGGCTGATAGCAAACGAATAACATTTATTTAAAAAGAAACATTCGAGTTTCCTTTCACGTTTGAATAATTACGTTACCTGATACGCAAAATGCGAAACTAACATTTACGTTTGCATTTTCAGTGCGGTAGGCGAAGGTCCGGTCGATACAACCTAACCCGACAAGGCCGTAGCACTCTTAACATGATCGGCGCTGGGACTGTGAGCATGCGAATTGTCGTTTTAAGTGCCACGTTTTCCGGACCCTTTACTGGGGCTTTGTTTAAACTGCGCTGCGAAGGATTTGAAATAACGACACATCGTCGTTGTTTGCAATCCACGGCAGCTCAGTTTAATCAAAGCATACAGTCCAGCTAGCCCAAACCAAAGCACTGTTAGACACCATTGCTGATTAGGCTTCTGTACGTCGCGACGGTTTGCACTTCGCGTGTAGAAATGTATGCAGTTATTTTTTTTTAACTGGGTAAAGGTAACTTGAGAAACGTAAATCGCGGCAAATTACTCTGATAAATAGATAGGACTCAAATCAGTTGTATCAACTTAGTTTTACATACTTCCGATTTGTTAAATTTGATCCCCCTATGCTGGACTGTAAGTACTCACACACAAGCACGCAAGTATGTTTTCTTTGTGAATAAACTTATAATAATTATTATTGTAACTTTTACTTTAAAGTTGCTCTCAAAGCAATAATCAGAGGTGAGTCCAAATTTGCAGAATTTGCACTAAAAGTCGAGTCGCAGTAGCCGGTGTTAAGAAGTGGAACCACTGACCTGCAGTGCAGACCACAGGACCCGGGCACTTACCATCCGCAAGCATGCCACGGCGCGAGACTACTTCTTCATCAACTATTACCGAAAGACTCGCGCCATCCTGAACAACTGGCTGCAGCCAAATTGCTGTCGCTACCACCTCCCGCTCTAAGAATCAACCGGAGCGAAGGCGGCGTAAGCCGTGACGTACATCAACGGACCGCATATAAAAAGGGGAGCGCGGGACCAGGCGCGGCGCGCAACCAGAGGAGCACTCGGTCTGGTTGAGCCGAGAGCTACCATTCATCTTCTCATCTTTTTAATTATATCATCTAAAACCCTACTCCGGCTTGACGTTCCTGCGTTCTGGTCCCTCCCTCCGGAACCTAACATCGGCCATGCCCTACGCGCAAAACAGTTCACTGTACCCGTTACTCCAACCACCAGTATTTCAAAAAATGCAGGTGACGTTTAATTACACCCGTTCTTTACCTAGAAATTTTACTACTTCGTCCTTATAATCGAATGCTGCTTCAGTGTTGCGAGCATTTCAATGAGATGATACCATAACGTGATATGGTAACCCAGCTTGTTTCCTAAGCCACCGTAATCGTAGTGACAGCTTAAAAATAATTTGTATGGGACATTTCTCTAGCCTCCTTCATTTGTAGTCACTTTCTCCTGCTCATATCCGATATCCCTGACATAAGAGCGACGTGCAGGGATCGGTGACATAGTGTGTTAGCGCACCGCTACTCGGAGCACGAGGAGCGGATGCTTGCGTTACAGAACCCAGAAACTAGGGGTGTAATGCCCGTCCATCCCCGTTTCTATTTAAATGAGCATCGTATGCCGGCGTGCAGTCGTGTATCCCTACTGCTCGGTGCACGTTGAAAACTCCGAGCTCGCAGAGTACGGCGTGTAACAGTGTTGCCAAAATTTGGCATTCCAAAGTCACCCTGTCTAAATAACTATAAATAAAGACTAATTTACTTTCGTAGAACCAATGCTGCAGGTCAGCCTTGGCGTCTATTCCTGTTGAGAATAACGTTATGTTGAGGCACGAGGGACAGAAAAAATAGCAAGCGGTTCCACCACGAGCAGTGCGGGTCTCGAGGGACAGAATTACCTGTCCAGGCGAATCTCCTCGGCATCGATGACGTCCCTGAGCAAAGTGAGGGGGTCCTCGCCACCAGTGTAGCCGGGTCCCCATCGCAGCACACGGGCAAGGTCGTTGCCCGTGCCCAGGGGCACGATTGCGCACGGCGGGGACTGGCACTCGGAGTCCTGGCCTACGTTGTCCAGGCACTGCAACACCCAGCCGACCGTGCCGTCACCGCCGCACACCAGGATCTTGTAGTCCCGCACGTGGCGGAACACATACAACCTGCGACGGCACAGAACTTCATCAGAAAGAGAGACAGAAAAAAGATCGCAAAAGTTGACAATAAACAGCGGTGGTTCGTGTATGTCCTCAGCGTAACCTCTCACCCAGCTCGGCCATTATATTGTGTAGATTTGATGGGCATTGCACGAAAGGGGGACAAGAAGTAACCAAGTATGGTTACTTGTTATTCCAAAAAAAGCAATAAAGTAAGTTACTCACTTCTCCTGCTCCAAGACAACGCATAACTGTGGCTCCAAAGTAAAGCATTGATGTAACTTAAAACGAACGCATTAGATTTCTCGTAGCATTGACGTTCAATTAAGCAGCTGTTTCTGTTGCAGTTATATTCTATATACGGTTTCCTTTTGGGACGAGGATAGACTGACGCGATAGCTAGCTTGCCCTTCAACGTCGACGTCACCAAGGTTTTCTTGCTCTTTTTAAACTCAATTTCAGCGATGCTTAATTTGCACATCACTGACGTCACTCGTAAGACTTGTCCTGTTGACTGGAAGAATCCCTTAATAATTATACAGTCAACCATTGCCGTGGTAGAAAATAACCGTTGTGCCTGCGCATGAGAATATACACGTTTCAAAAATGTTCAATCAATTCCTTTTGTGTGATTTTTTTATTATTATTTTCAGTAGCTAGTGGGTGATGTGCTGCTTTTTTCTTGCACAACAAAGCAGGAGCATGAAGACGATGTTCCGGTTGTGTCTCACTCCCTTAGCCTTGAACATCGTGGCTAGCCAAGACCACGGAGACGTCACTGGTGGAAACGCCGCTGCCCAACAAAAACGCCCGCCGTGACTTTTTTTTTTTTTTTTTAATTTCCAAAAAAATGAATTTAAGGATTTACTGACTTCATTTTTTTTCAAAATTCCGATCTACATAAGCAGCTTAAATATAGTTCATCCCAAGGTCATTAAAAAGTGTTTCTGTGTCTAACACAAGAGAAACCTCAAATTAAAATAATTCAACAGGAATGAAACATGAAGGAATACACCCCTTCATGATAGAGGGGAGTCGTTTGTGCACTGTACATTCTGATCTTTTTTTTTTTTTTTTTTTTTTTTGTTATGAAGTTTATTTTGATTAGGCGCTTATCTTTTCCGTGAAACAAAAACGTACCGGAATATCCTAATCCAAGAATGCCATACAATGGAGCAACGCATTATAATACGGTGGGGTATGAGAGTCACATGCAAAGTAAGCTACCAGAAACTGGGGAACTATCACGAAGCGTTTGAATTTTTCTGACAACTTGACCATGCATACTGTGTAATACGCACAATGCATGAAGGAAGCAGACTACCGGTCATTCCTTTTTGCAATTTTGTTCGTATGATCGACTAGATACTACCTAAGAATAATAATATTTCAAAAGTGAGACTAGTTTAAAATATTTGGTTGTTGTGATGTCTACAGAAAGAACAATCCCGCGAGAGGTAATCACGTGATGCAACCTCCCGTGCCCCGTGGCCGTACCATGATCAACATTGCAGCGTGGACTGTGTGCCGTCCTTCCAACTTACCCGGGTAAGGGTCCACTGTTTTCAAGGTCGTAAACTTGGTAAGGGTTCAGCATTTTTCGGAAAGAGGTGATGAGCTCTAGACCTTGGCAACCTCCGCTCTTAACGTTGACAAATACAAGCAACGGCTGCAAGCGAAACGTTCCATTTGATTAGTTACATCCGTATGCATCATTAATATAACTAATAAATTTCTTGAGATCCTCACACGTGAGCACGGTCGCACGTAACAAAACTGACTTTTTCAAGTCATTGTGTAGAGACAAGGAGCCAAAGTAATAGACATAACTGAAAAAAACAGTGCGCAAAACGCCTCTTACTTATATAGCCGGCTACTTAGAACTCATTTTGGATGAATTGATGCGCATTAAAAGCATGTCGTTTAGTAGTTTGTGATTCGCATTATACTTGTAAGCCAGCTTGAAACAAACCTTGAAATATGTTCGCCTCTTCTCCTCGTATGTGCGAGCGCATGCACGCACCCCTTCATACGCAACATATTTACTTTCAGAGCCGAACAAAGCAAGAGTCAAAACGCAATATCCGTTTCACTACTTTCGGTTTGAGTTTATGGCAATGAAATCCCCGGGGCCAAATTAAAAATAGGTATTTCGAAAGGGTCTCGCTCTCATAAGTGAGAGCTAGCAAAGCTTAGTCATCCCCGGTTTTTCCTTGGCAACCTGAGAAAATATTTGAACAGCACGAATGCACCTGCAGGTCTGGAAGCATCAACTGTCATCCTTCACAAGCACCGTGCTGTTCGTTTCTGTAGCCAGTATTGGTTATTTTAATAACGTCAGAGAAACACGGCTCTGCATTTCAACACTACGTTTTTAGTGTGGCTTTATAGATGCTTTAAATTGTGAAGTAAATCATGATTTAAATCGTGATCTAAATCAGACCGCTTTCACTGTAATAAATGAAACCAAACCTTTTCACACAAATAAGCATACCAACATATTTTTTGTTTACCGTTTGTAAATCATTTTAGGCTCTCTATGTGCATTTGTTTGGTATTTAAATCAAGAAATCACCAAGTAACAAAACTTCCTATCCGGCTGAACGCGAGCACACAGCAGTAGTCTTTTAGGCAAATCAAAACAGAAATATATTAAGCTGTTTCTGTTCTACTATGGCGTGCTTTATTCAAAGAAAGTTGTGACTTAAACTGAATTATAAATTTAACGGTAATTCTTTCTTCCGCATTGCTTTCAGTGTTCGGACGAATGTTAAGTTCAAAATCCATCTGGTGCATCAGAAGAACAATTTTATAGCTACATTGATTTAATCAAATATTTTATTTCAATCACACTTTTTTATTTATTTACTTGAAGTAAAAATATGATTTTTACTCTGCTTTTTAGTACCGTAAACCCTGTCGTTCGTTATATTTATGAGTGGTAGTATTAATTTGTTTTGTTCGTAAAATTTGTTACGTAAGTCTGCCTCTGCCATTAATTGATGACTAGTGAAAGGAATAAAATATTCGTTAAAAGCAGGATACGCCAGAAAGATAAAATCAGCAGGACAATGAGCACGAATTTTTACTCAAATGAAATCAGAGAAAACAAAGCGGAGATTAGTTTTGTGGATAATCCATTCAACGTGTATAAAACCACGAAATGGGAAACTTAGTGACATTGACGCTTTTAACTAATGGTTCTTTTATCCCTTCCACACGAGCACCCGCAATCGCGAAACTTCGGCCGAATATGGATATGCCCAGGACAGACCTTTATGTGCAGAAAGTAAATAATTATCAGCACGATGGGCTCACCCTGACTCCCTCTGGAATCATCTCCGGAATGTTGTTGGGTAGGAGGAGAACTAAAAGGGTCTTGTCCTCGAAGCTTGACTCCCTCAGCATGTAAAAAGCTTTCACAGCTATGTCTGCATTGTCGTAGGTGATGATCAGGGAACCGTACTCGTAGTAGATGGGACCTATTTGCTTGAATTTGTAAGCTGAAAAATGCAAAAGTTATTAAGCAAGATTCAACACAATCTGATCCTCTCTTGTGTTCTTTCTCGCTTTTTTTGTCAAATATAGAAAGAGTGCGACAGACTTTTCATATAGTGAACACTCTTCTTCTCACTGAGAAAAATATTGCTTCTCATTCGAATAAGCGACCGCTGCGAATACAGGCATTGCAATTATAACACGTATGTAACCTGCCAATACAATCCGTGAACATATATAGTTGCACTACTTGAGCCAGTACCGCTAAAATTATATGCCGGCCTGGAACGTTATTGTAACATATGTTTGTCAAAAAATACTGAGCAATAAACGCCAGCTGGTTCATGCAAAAAAAAAAAAAAAGAAAAGCCGAGGTCTGTCTCACAAAGAAAAATTAAGAGAAGAAAATGAATACAAAATACGAACTTACGTTTTCCTAAGAGGTCTACCAAAATTTTTTCGTACTGCCTCTGCGATAAATTCGGTGGAAGGTTTCCAACGAAAAGCGCAACACTGGAACTATAACAGTCTTCCTTTTGCTGAAGATAAAACCTAGTCAAGTCCTTTTGTCTTATGGACTCCTGTAAAAAAGACGTTTCTCATCACAAGTCATTCACTAATGCGTGACATTCATTCCATAGCTATTCAGATCGACATGCAATTAGAATAGTGGCACCAGCTTACTCTCGCAATGTTCCTGAGCAACTCCCAGGGACTCTCTTGATTGTCCATCACTCTTTCGTGAACAGCTGAAATAAAAAAAAAAATCATCTGTTTTACCTATCACATTTCGTATGTTCACTATGGTCTTGGTATTGACATAGCTCCGTGTTTGGGGTTTTCAAGGTTCATGAGCAGCGAACATTAATAAGGACAAAGCAGGGGGCACGCTTTACTCACACGGATTTAGGAAAAAAGGAATCTTCGTATTAAGGTGTGGTGGGCTAGAAACCTAGGTGTAAGAACCGCGCGGCCGAAAACGGTCCCGCGCTTCAAGCCTACAGAGCGGGGCCTATTAGAGAGTTTCAGGGAACCGCTTTTGCACATTCGATACGGTACGATGGGCCCTCCAGTACAAACTGCGCAAATGGGATTCTATGTGGTAGCGCATGCGCAGTTCGTACCGGAGGATCCACCGCACCGTTTCGGATGTGCGAAAACAGTTTTCTAACACTCCCTGTTACCTATGCAGAAAGCAACACCACCTTCCACTCTCAGAGCTGGGACGCCAAGGGGGATCGGAACCGCTGGCGTGGAGACGACTTCTGATAGGAAACCTAAACTTTAAGACGCGTCTAATTTGAGTGTGTTTTCGGAATTCTGCAAAACTACTCCACGTGCCATATAGTTTTGCTAAGTGCGCTGATTTAGAGGTTTTCGATGATGCTCAAATGTTTGTAGCTGAAACGATACCTTTAAATTTACTAGTTAGAAAGTTAATTACTCATAAGTGATTAGAAACCAAGTTATACCAAATGTTATTCATTTTTCTATAAATGCCCTTCGGCAAAAGCCAATGGGATTTCAACTTTTTTTTTCTGCACTGCGTACTTTTTTGCGAGAGCGATTCCACTCGTGTTTAGAGAAGCACCCTGTTTATTTCTAGCAGAAGGAATAAGATACTGAAAATACGAGACCCAGACGGGGGTAATGTGCCCGTTTGTGTCTCGTCCTCTTACGGTTTTATTGTTCCTGCTAGAAGTATACTCATACTAACACGCTCATTACGATATAATCCTGTACACAATATCAGAGAAAAACGCGGCTAGAGAAGTTGACGTACAGCCCTTGTCCAGCGTGACTTCAGAGAGCCTGAACTTGTTGATGTCGGAGGAGTCCAAGCCAAACTTTTCCAGAGCCTGTATCATGATTTCCTCTACACTGGTGTCGCTCGTCACGGAAATCACGCGGTAGATATCCGCGGATCTGAGAAAAAAAAAAAGACAGCAAATAAAATTATCGTCTATGCGTAGAAATCCGGAATAAAACACCATGGATCAACATTCTAACTTTGAAAAAGAGACATATACATCTAGTTTCAAGAAACGTGAGCTATAGTTTGTTAAATGTTAAGAAGAGCAGGAAAAACGCATCCCACAAATCTTTCTGCTTGGTATAATTATTACTTCCTTGCTCTCTAGTATTCCGTCTGCTAAAGTGAAAAAGGTGCAGCACTTTGAGGGATGAGCTTGTTCTGCTATTCCTAACCGGCAACAGACTTACCAAGAAGTACACTGTATTCCCTTGCCCGTAGCCGCACATGTTCATAAAAGGGCTCAGGATATCTGATTTTCTATAGAGAAGCGGATGCCACTCGTGGTGGCTTATGTGAGGAAACCAGCAAATACGGAGGAAATAATAACATCAGGATTCGACACAACGAGATGTGTTGGGATTCTGCATGCACCAACGTCATGATCATTAAATCTGCGCAGCTTGTTGTGTTGCCGTTTTGAATATAAATTTTATTATATCTGCCTCCCGATTCGCTGGTTTTTGCGGATCGCAATGATTTTATGCCGCGAGCACCGCTGAAAGGCCTACACGCAGGCCTTGTTCATGAACTGGTGCAGTCTATTAGCCCCGAGAAGTTCGCGTGGTGCCCCCTTACGGCGAACCGGGGTGACGTCACGGCGAGAGGAGAAGTTTTCCCCGACTCGCCCGGCTCGGCCTGTGGAGGCTGTGACGACGCTAGCTGTCGGCGCGCTCGTTTTTATTTAATTTTTTTTTTTGGGCGTGTTTTTCGTAGGAAGTGTAAATTTTTATATGTGCCTTTATTGAGGTATGGCCTGGAGCTACAGGTGAAACTTCAACCAACATTTTAAGCAAGCTTAACAGGGCAGGCGACGCATGAATCGCAGCTGGTATATGAAAATAAAGAAATATGGCCGCAATTGCAGGAGCATCGTTATAGATTTACATCTCGCACAATAAATGCTGTTGATGGTCTGAACGAATTCGAAGGTTATGTATACTATTTTTTTATCTCTGCTTTGAAACAAGATCGCCGAAGCAGAAAAGCTGCATGCTCCTCGGGCAACATGCTAAATACAGTCTGGGCCATGGGGAGAGAATCACAAGTAAGACAGCCCAAGTGCAGGAGCAAAGTAAAAAAAACAAGGACATTTTTATATACATTGCTCGCATTTAACCTTTGCTGGATTCGGATAGTATTTCAAAGGACTACACGAGTGGTATTTGTGGACTTGTTTATATCAACCCTCAAGAAATGTATAGCACACGTAAGCGAAGATGTCTACCTCGTTATTAGTCCCTTAAGCCTGAAAATTGAGACTTTACTTAAATGAAATTGCCCTGAAGCTAAAATACCAGAAGCTTTTCTTACGCAGACTGTCGCCCTTCACAGGTTCCACATTTTCCGCTACTAGTGCTGCATCTACCGCTGGACAGACGTTCGAATGCTTGCTTTTACTCCTGTTTTTCTCTGTTGTCAGAGAGTCCAGCTGTAGGGAGTTTGGAGGCTGAGGAAGCTTTTGGGGACCTGCAGCAGTCTCTTTTAATTGGAAATGACAATTCAGACTAAACGGTGTATTTTTTTAATACCCAAGGCTGGAATAAAGAATGTCAGGAAAAAGTAAAAACATTCCAAATTACGGTACTATTGCTGTGCATATTTTGGGCAGTTCAATACATATTATACAGGCAACTGGGGCAATTCGGCCGTTTTTGCTGCTACCATACAAACTAATTTTCAGTTATGTTGCATCTTTAAGAAATATGCCTGCATACGTGTATAAACTATATAATGAATTCACGAAGAAGCTACATTTATGTAAAACAGCCCTGTTCCACGAGCGCTTCAAAAATCACCAGACGCAGGGTCTTTAAAACATCTGCGAACCAGCGCATGCTGAGTGGAAGCGCAGAGTCAGGGTCGCGAGCTAATTTGCCGACCACCCAAAGGCCCTTGGTATAAATGTCACTTCAAATGCCTTGAAAGCGGGATGTCATATCGTCCTAAATCATGAACAGGAGAGGAACAGAATTCCAGCGTCTGAAACACTTGCGCCACCGCTTCACCGACCCTTTGCAAGATTGCCTTGTGTCGTGTGGACGGACGGGGAGGTTCATCAGCGGAATTGCCTCCTCCGATAGCTTTCGGTATTTGTAACCCAATTTTAAAGGTAAAAGGGGCAAGCAGGCTTATAAAATGTACGGTAGCACGTCAATATCAGCCTAACTCAACGTCTTGTACAACGGGTACACGAAGTCCAGCTCCTCGAAGAGCTTCTGGGACACAACGCCAAACCGGGAAACCGGTGCTGGGAAGCGAGCCGATGCGAGGTCGCGGAGCGGAGTCCTCCCCCTGACGTCACGGTACACCTCACCCAATCAGGGCGCTGCGACCGCAGCGACGCTTGTGTTCGCTCTCGGGGCTAATAGGTAAAAATATACAGTATGAGGCAGGTTTTTTTTGTGTGTATGTGTGCGAAATAGAAAACGCATTTATAATCACACGAAAGAAGGAAATACACACTCTGAGAAATGCCTGCGCGTCTAGTTACCCGCAAAACACCCAAATAGCCAATCATTGCGATCTAGGAAATTAGCTTAGCGAATGATGAGGCGGAACATCCGTTTAGACCTCTAAATTAAGTCTGCGCTGTTGCATTACGCAGTGAAAGCATGACGCTTTGCATTGCGTAATGCCACAGCGCAGACTTCATTGTTAGGCCTAAACGGATGTTCCGCCTCATCATTCGCTGAGCTGATTTCGCATACATCGCGGAGATCGGCTCTTTGAATGTTTTGCGGGTAAGTAGACGCGCACGCATTTCTTTGAGCGCAGGGAAGTTTGAACCAGTTATATTAAGACGAGACGCATCGTTATTGTGAGGACTTCTAATTCCCCAAGGGTACGGCCTACCGTTAAGCCTAATAAAATTACGTCGTAAACACCTGTCGTGTTTATACGAAAATAGGTCGACCTCTTTATCAACATTGCCTGCGCGTGTATTCCTCTGTAACACGGAAGAGGAGCCAATCACTGCGATTTACGGAAGAGGCTCGGCGAATAACGAGGCACCGATAACGTCAGAACGCAGAAAAGAGATGTTTTTACTCGCATTTTGTTTTATTCCAAACGTTATCTCAGTTTTGCCATTCGCCGGCTCCTTTTATAACTCTTAATGATTGGTTTCCTAGGGTCCCCCGGGAAGGTAGACACACACGTCTGTTCATAAAAAAGGTCAATGCAACATATTTTCTGATAAATACGATATTATTAGGTTTTTCCGCGTATTCCACATCTATAATTCAACAGCTTGTTTTGCTGACTTATAATTATTCATTGAACTACTGCCTACTAGCTTCAACTAATGAAATGCCCAGATTTTTTTTATAAAAATCAGTTAATTCGATTGTCGACAATTGCCTAAGCAGACCAAGGATGATATTTTTTTTTCCATGAATTGATGTTGCGTGTTTTGAAATTGTCACAGGCACGTACAATGTACGTGTCACAAACACGTACAGTGCGACTGAAAAAGATTTTCTTAGACAAAAAAAATATATAATTATTTTCATGTGTACCCCTTCGTCAAAAACGGAAAGAGACCCACCTGAGCTTTCCAGGGAATACCTTGACGTAGCCCTGGTCTGGATTGGGAGGCCGGTACCTGAGGAAAATGGCTGGCCTCTTGCCTTCTCTCCGCGTCAGGCTTTGCACTGGCATAAAGTCCCCCAGTTCCTTCTCGTTGGGATCTGCAAACCTCCAATCCGTTAGAGAGCCTCCGCAACTCCTTTCGAGTGCATTCATTCTAACAACAAAAGAAAAGTATGTGAGCCCACTTCTCTGCGGAACAAAAAGGCAGCCGATCACAACAAACTACAGGGCGTCCCCTCAAAATTTTTTTACAGGGTTCGTTCTCGCAACCAAAATTAACTACGCATCTCCGAAAACACTTTCTCTGCCAAAATGTAGCGCTAGCGGTCCGAACAAGATGCCAAAGTTTCAGAACCAACCAGTTTCTGAATCAAAAGTTACAGGTCATTTTTTAAAATTTTTAATAAAAAAATGGCAGCCGACGGAGCTCTCGAATACATGGAGCTGAACGGCGACTGTTACCGAAAACGGGCAAAAACGGGCCCAATTTTCCCATTAAAACTTTTATGAAAATCAGTTGTAACTTTTGATTAATATAACGATTAGTTCTGATACTCTGGTATCTGGTTCAAACGGCTAGCGCTACATTTGGGCGGAGAATGAGCATTCATCAATGCGCAATTTAATTTTGCGGTAAAAAACAAAGAAAAAAACACTACATTTATCGGGGAAACACACTAAATATGAGTTCCCGGTCAAATGACAAACTTCAGAATATAATTAGATAAAAAAAAGCCATGTGCGAAGGGACGACGTGTGAATGAAACGTGAGGCTTATTGTTCATGACAACATCGTATGCCTTTTTTTCTAATCGTAGTTTGAGCTCGCTCTTTTTTTATAGGATCCTTATATTTTTTGCCTCGATTGGCTGCCTCTGTATTTAACAGAAAAGCGAACTCAAACGCGTTTTAGAGTGCATGGTCAGAAAAAAAAAACGATTTCGTCGTACGTGTTTGAAAGGCCTTAACTATTTTATTAAAACAATATGCTCTCAACGTAAACCTATCGGAACGCCGACATCCCGGCAATAATAAAAATAGGGCTGTTTTGCGTATACCATAAAAGTGCGCACTCATTTTTTTTATTTAATCATGTATCGTCAAATACCGCGACACAGAAAAGTTCATATATTGAAGCGGGTTCCGCTTGCCAGCTGTTTATTAGCCGGACAAGACGTACGGTTTCTTTGCTGGCTTGCTTCGAGTTGCTTGCGCGAGCGCTCGCATCGCGCGACCTCCAGCCTCGTTCTTCTCTTAACCGCTACAATATGCTTATGATGCCCTACATATACATCTGAAAGTATATTGCTCCCCGTTCACGGATTAATGTACGGTGGAATTTAGGGTTACTTTGAATCGGGGTGTTCTTTTTTAGCAAAAACAAGCAAAACGTCCCTACCGTAGACATCGGTGATGTAGTAATGCTTCGGGTCACCAGATATATGGAATGCTCGCAGTGCGGCGCCCTAAAGAAACAGGCGGTGAAAGGAAGGAAAAAGTTTGAGATTCAACGTTGGGAACAGCAAATTCGGCAAAACCAAAATAATAGCACACGTAAACATTCTTTTTTGTCGCGAACTCCATCTCTAATTCAAACGGCACTTAAGACTTGTCGGTACTCGAGGGTACAACACTTTAAAACTTGGAGGACGCTGAAGCTTCGCCCTAGAGAGTGGAATGCGATAGCGTTATCGGGCCCCGTTCACATCGCCTTCTCATTCGCCGTGAAAGCGCGCCTTGCGTGGCCTGCAATACTGATATTGCATTTTATGCTTCAACCGTTGTGTCCAAAAAAGGGGGAAATAAAGGCTTGTGTGGCCTGGTCAGTAGCATGTCGGCTGGCAACCGAAGGGTCGACGACAAAATCCCGCCTAAATGCCTTCAAATGCTTCGTTAAGGAAAATAAATTACTTTATAAAGTGAAATCATTTGAGACACGTGGCGACCTTTAATTCGCATTACATGTCATGTTTTTTAATCACTTTCATTCCCCGCTGACGTCGCGTTTTACATGAGCGCTCTGGGTTGTTTGAAATTCCCGCGCGAGGTCATGTAACTGTGACGTCATGACCCTATCGACCAATCAGGATTTTCGCGTCACGCCACCGATCCCGGCTTTTCTGCCACGCCACCGAGGTCGGCGTTTCTGCGAAACGAGCTCGTTAACGCTCTCGCGTTAAAACAAAATTTGCAGGGGTTATCAAGCCGGCTGTGATACAGCTCGCAGCAGCAAATTCTCGCGATAGCATCGCAAAATCAATGATGTCCATGCTAGCGTATAAAGGCAAACCTTTACACCAGGAAGCTAAGAATTAATACTTCTGTGATAAAGAAATGATTCGTTTCTTATTTATTTTCACGGATATCTGATCATAGTGCATGCATTTTGGATACTGTTTCGTATTCCTAATGCCATCTGTACATTTATTTTCATCTCAATTATTCTAATAAAGGAAGAAACTGTAATAGAAAGCTGCTAGCTTTCATGCGTTGCGTACTCTATTTTTATTTCAGATATGTAGTTTTATTATAGTAGTTCTGAATTCAATTATATATAATTATTAACCTCATTTCCGTGCACTTATATGCCATATTTCCCATTTTTCCGAAAGCATTCCGCAGAAACCAGTAGATCCATTCTTTGCTAAATTATCAGGATAAGGAAGGTTACTTTGCTACCATCGGTAAAACAGTTTAAGTGGTCAACTTGATGGACAACCTTGCCTCTTAATAAGCGGAAACAAATCCGGCACCTCTGCCACGCTCCCAGCATTGTCTCAACGGCACCTCGCACCTTTTTTTCACAAGCACTGCGTTATCATCTTTAGGTTATGAAAATCATATTTGATTTCTTTCTTGTTATCACTCATATTCTATAAGACTATAACGTACCATGGCACTCATATTGTGTGCCATTGTATATGTTACTCTGTTTATTTAAATCAGCAATCCGCGCTACGATGAGACGAGTTCAAATGCATGCAGTACTTTAATGTGCTAAATTTTACGCTACCGAAGCAGTAAGGGAGTACTTACGATGATTTGCTCCCTAATTGCATTACGTGATACGGTGATTGTCCTGAACATCCTTCTCTTCATAGAGGCGTTGCCGTCGTATACTTTGATTATTTCTGAAAGCGCAGAATATGAACATGGTTCTTAGGTGCTTAATTCTACCTTTAACACGTTTGATGATGAAAAGTGCGTCATGTTCATGTCACGAATGTAAACAAGATCAATGCAGCTGTGTACGACAGTAACACAACTATACATATGCTTATATCGTCCATTAATAGTATATGTTCTGCACATGATGTGACTTATAATACTCATAGCACTTTTAGAATTAACATTTCACCAGCGCTTGTTCCACGTAAATTTCTCGAGGCTGAATGCACCTCTTCTAATTATCGCCTAACATGTCGTTTTGAAGAAACGGTAGAGGAATCGCGACGGCGTTTCTATTGCACCTAATATAATATTTAACGAGCGCTGTGTCAGAGCTTTTCAATACAGGAACATCGCGGTAAGTTTAATGCAAAAATCGCAGAATTCGTGATAAGAGACGGCTGAATATCAAACCGATCAACTCACCTTCATCTTTATCCTTCTCTTTTGGTGATGGGTAATCGTCAAATTCTTTGCTTTTGAGGTCCCCCGTCGATGAAAATTCTTCCGATATGCTTCTTGCTGCAAACACGAAACGAACTCAGTACGTTTTAAACTTCACGAATAAAAAAAAGAACCAAACTTCAGTTAGAACAATATTCGATATTGTCTGTTCATTCAGTCATCCAATGCTTCCTATTGTGCTAAATATAACAAAAGAAGCAATTATTCATCCACATACCTTAACGGATTTAATGTTAACGAATTTCAGGTTATGTAAAAAAAAAAAAACACTACATAGTATCGACTTGTTTGAGAATATATTCACTCAAGTACTTGGCTAGATTATTTCTTCCTGTGATGTTTTAGTGCTCTATCTGCTCTAGGCTTGAGAATGTATCAAATTTCTACGTAGATCAATTTCTGTTTAATAGTAGCAATACCAAAATCACTACCTTTAAGATCATAAATCAAATTGTAGGAAATAATCTGCCTGAAATAATTTTCGAGTCGTATAATAGAGGGGTTTATAGATGACTATACGGGTCTAGTTTATGATATTCGTTCTCTCAAATGTATCATAGATGCTGACGAGTTATTTTCACATCTACCTTTAACTCAGCAAAATAATACAAAACGAAGCATTCGTTTGGTGTCAATAGTCTCTGAAAAGATTGTCGAAATACTTTTTTTCGTATTCAATGTCGATTTTTAATAATTAAGGGAGATATGTCAACTTATAGTATGTGTATACGCTAAGCACGGGCCCTAACACGGCTAGAAGCATGACATAAAGCGTAGCTGAAAAGTTAAAAAAAGAAAGCGTTAAAAAATATTTCTAAATCGCCATGGTTGACATGTGTGGAAAAGAAAACAGTGTTCGCGTATCCCTTGTCCTAAAAATAATAGGAGTTTGGTCACATTCTGAGACCTATGCGAAGAGCAAGTCGTTGGCTTCTTTCGCGAAGCTGCGGTAACGTCAAAACGACACCGAGCTCCGATTGGCTATGATTGAAAGGATAGTGGGTAGAGCTCAATGTCGGATGCCGTGAAGTGTACCCACTATTTTCAATCAGCCAATAAGAGCTCGGCGTTCGGACATCATCGCAGCCCGTGTGCAAGAAGCAGACGAACTGGCGCTCCGCATAGCATTTTGATATCCGTGCTGTGCACAACACGGATATCAACACGTATAGCACTAATGGAATATGAACATATATTTTCCTTACCGCGTAATTCACAAAAGATAGTGTCAAACGTGAAGCGTTAATTCCCAAGTTCCTGCGCTCACACACACCCGTCACAGCAGTAATAATCCTAATGACATATCAGTTGTGAAAGAAATCTAGAACACACATAAACTAGAGAATTCCTTATAATTCTGGCGTGTTGCGATATGGGCAATGTCAGCTTATTTTTATTTAGTAAAATTAGTTGTTTTTTTTCATTACGAGCATTACTTACCGTGCACTCTCAGGATCGCTGTAGCTTACAATGAAACAAAGGTACTTAAAATTAAAAAAAAAAGAAAAGAAAACAGGGAAGGCAAGAAAACGAGCGAGTGGCTACGATGCTTGGAATACGTTTAAAAGTAATGTATAGAACACTTTTTTTTTTGCTGTTTGCGGGGGGAAAGGGGGAGGGGGGTTGTTTCGCTTACTTTTTACTTGGTTACATCCTAATGTATACTTTCTGTGCGATTACTGCGACACTAGTCGTAGTCAGAACTTCTGGCACGCTCAGTGAGGAAAATGAAAAACGACAGGCACATCCTTTTTCTAGCCGTAGCTCGCCCGGCAGCTTACCAGCTGGAATAAAGTACGAACCGCTGCGGCGCTCACCTATGCTGGGGTAAGTGGCCCGGGCTAGCGTCTCTCTCCTCCGCATCTCCACTCCGATGATGGTCTCCAAAGGAACGTCCGTGCGAGGAATGCTCACGGCCGCCGGAGGAAGCATGATGCTCTCCAGGCAGCCGAAGTTGCACTCTTGGATCAGGCTTCGGTAGCAGGTGGCGTGGGCCTGCACCACGCACCCGAAAGCGAGGACCGCCTCACGTTGTTTGTCAACTTCGCAAGCATTCTATTATAAGTTTCCGTTCTACTTGCGGACATTAGGCATTTTGACAAGACCGTTTCCATAATCCCAATAATGGTACTCGATACTCCGCCGCCGGCGCCCTCAGCACATGCACCTCTCAACGAGCAGAGAAACGCGATCACAGAGAACGCCTATATAAAACGCCGCAGTGCCGTATGTTATACGTGACGCACTAGGGGCCAGCGCTGGGCATATGTTGGACACCTGTTCTGCGTAAACGTTCAGCTCGAACTCGCGTTCAATCCTTTTGTAACACGAGTTTTAGCGACAGTGAAATGGCACTCGTGTCTCATACGTGATTCACGGTGGCCTTCCTTTGGAGACGTTAACACTCCAGCACTACGGCTGTCTACGGGTGTTGGAAAAGCGTAAACATTGACATGAGACTTTTTTTTAACGATTTTTGCGCATGCAAAATTTGAAAACACTGATTATATATGAAGTTACGTGTTATCCATATAATACTACATTTTTTACTTCCTGAGTTTTGACCAGATCAGTTGAGGCACGTCAGGAATTACTGCAGACGTGTGTCATTTGCGGCGTGGGACTTCACCAAAATGTAGTAATCACACGAATAATTCATGACTAGGTATACCAACAACCATGCTCACTCGCACTAAAGTAATTCTTGTTACGAAAATCGGGTTTCGAATTGCGTATAAATTTCATTTCCAACTAAGCTTTTTTTTTGTTTTTATTACACTTACGTATTAAGAAAAAAAAAAGGACAACACAGGAATGTTTTGTTACTCCAACGTCTGAACAGTTCAAGCGGCCCTTTATAACCCCAACTCCGTTACAGTCGAAGTTTGGACGAGAATACTTCAGCGTTCGAGCTTCAAAATCCCCATTCATCTGTGAGGTCAGCGTTTAAACACTTGGGCGGCGCATTTACTTCACTTAGCAGACATTTAGACCGACGGCCAGAGTCATTAGGGCATTGAGTGATGTACGGCGAGCCGCTTGACTCAGACGGAGCTCAGAAATAGCGCAGGATCATCGGTAAGAAGCTCGTGCCAACAGGCGAAGAGAGGTTTCTCTCTGCACGGGCTAGAGAAGAGACGTGCAATGGAAATTTTGTTTCTCGAAGCTTTGGGTTCGGCGAACGCAGAAACATGGAGGGGTGCCGGGGTCACTGACCGTGATGCCGCACCACTCGCACCGCATGCCAGCCAGGCACTCTGCTGACCAGCAGGTCTTCTTGCACTGCTGGCACTTGGAATTGGCGGGTAAGTTGCCTTCCCGCCAGTGGTGGAACTGCATGACTGACGGCTGCGAAACGCACGCAAGAACCACGCGGTCTTAGAGGGTGGGAATGATTACGGTCGTCTCTCGAGTTTCACCGAATCTGGTATGAGCTTTTATGGTATTAACTTTACTGTGACTCTAAGCAATCAAACGGCGTGAAAGGTAATGCTGCAGGAATGACAATTTTGAAACATTTGTTAAGCTGCCATTCCTGCAGTGTGACTATCTGAACGGGGGGAGGGGGGGGGGGGGGTAATGTTTTAGAGATGCATAGTGTATGACCTGGGCACCGGCTATTTCAATATCGCAAAACGTTTGATTATTTGCAATGAACTCTGATAAATATCGGCCGATAAAACAAGGTACGAAAATTAGTTTGAGTCAAAACATGCCAGCGGCGTAATATTTGCTACTTCGTTGTCAGAATGACAGTTATTTTATAGGCTTACAATATGATATTGGCCATACAAAGAAATGTGGTCATTATATAGATTGCTTCTAAACTTAATAACGCCATGTAATCGTCAACATACTAGATATTTTTGCTAGTGTCATAAACTCCACTCAGTCAACCGGCCGGTGTGTCTTCTTCAAGCAAGATACTCAGAGAAACTTTGAAACAACACGATGTATCTAGAACGCTAGAACACGGGGAGTCACTAAAACCCCCAAAACTGGCCAAATGCGTGGTAACGTTAGGTTTGGAAAAGAGGTTGGTTTACTTCCGCGGTATGTGGACTGGGAATGTCATGTAACTGAAGTGCAGAACATATATTTTGTCGACTGTTACCGTCTTTTTTATCCATGTCGCGTCGATTATATTATTTTAGTGTCTCATGAAAGGACCCAAATGTAGCGGATGGTTTGAAAAAGACGCTAAACCAAATTTTGGCTCAAATTTATCTCGTACCCGAGAATCCCGCTTAGGTCGACTCACTTTATTTCTACTTGGAGCATAGGTCGCACACTGCTTGCAATCTGCAACGCTGAAGTCTTGGCACTCCAAATGTACACAGTATTCACAAACTGCAAAAAACAAACGTCAGGATCAATCGCGGTTACGTAGGTAACTGTGGCTCCCCAGCGAAAAATTATACGCATATGTTGCGTTATGATAAGGCATAAAACGCGGGTTTTAAACGGCGTTTAATCTTTATGGAACCATCATTACCGAGGTGGCTATCGTGCACGACATCGCATGTTTGCATAAAACACACCAGAATTTTGATCGTATGGTTAGGATTTTAAAAAGACTCCGCGCCATAGGAAGAACCCAATATTGATACACACTAATGGGTAACACGTGTAACCTAAAGAACGTCGATTCGACACGCAGCGTTATAGTTGTACATTCGTAAATATTGGGTACACAATAAAAAACGGCGCCAACTGCCTGTGCTTACCTTCACACCTAACTGCACAGTTGTCTTCGATTCGTTTTCGGCAGACATTGCAAAACTTTCTTTTTAGGTGACCTGCCTCGGTCCAACAGTGGGGGACTGGGTTCTGTTACCAAGAAGCAAACGTGCGAACAGGTGAGAAATAGCGGTAGACAGTGAATCCCAAGGAATAGCACGACCTTGCAAAGACTATGCTAATTCATACACTCTACAATAAACGATGTCGCAATAAATTTTTCAAATATTAAATCGGCATGTCATTAAGTGGACTCATCTAATAACGCAAAATTACTCTTCCAATTATATATAAATTTCCTCCTTTAAAACCAATGTCCGAGACATTTTAAAAAATTTTACAACATTTAGTTGTTAAAAAAGTTCTAAAATAAAAAAAAAACTTTCAAATTAAATTTTTTTTTAATAACACTGTAGGTCGTGGTGAACGTGAGTGCAGATCAAATATTATCTCAGGAAGAACGTCCCAGTCAAAGACTTGTAGCTTGACGTGAAAATAGGTCATGACTGCTGTTGTACTTCAAGAACCCAATTGTGCGTCGCAATAGTACGTTTAAAAATTGAGGCTGCAATGATAACCGATACCGAAATCCAGAGCGAGATACGCGCAAGACCGCGCACCAAAAAGATGACAGCCCATTAAGTGCATGCAATGAAACTACACTACGGTACCCAAAATATCCCAGCTTAAATTCGCCAGTGTATTCCGCGAAGCAAAATTTATTATTCTGGAATACAGAAACCGTTATGTCCTATTTTAATAACGGGCTTAAACAACAACTAATAAATGTGTCACTTTTAATAAATTTGTAAAAAGTAAATTTTAGGCAATTAGTTTGCTAATTATCAAGTTATACTTGCACCCGATGTCCTTTGACCCCAATAACATTACTACAAGAATAACTTCTTCGTTAATAAAACAATTTCTTCTTTTTTTAAGGAGGAAACATTTTTATGTGAGACCGTTCACAAAGTGTTAATAAGTATGAAATATATTAATGAATTATTCCCAAGAAGTATTGGGGACACTTTCCTCTAATGCTGTGTAATGTCGTTTTGTAAATCGACGCGAGAGTATCTGGATGGTAGCCAAACACCTTTCAGAAGAGTATTGCGGTGAAACGTCGAATGCCAGTCTGAAAATTTTTTGAAGACTACTTTGAGCATTCGTCTTGCCACCCTCTTTCTCTTTCCTTCTATGTTGGAGTCGTTTCTTGAGATTCCAAATTTTTTCTGCCATCTCAAGAACGTTTTTTTGTGTGTTTTTTTTTAATATTAGAGGGCAGTAAACATTTAAGTTATTACTGTATTTAGGATAAGCAAAAAGGCATCGGCGGCAGCACAATTTCAGTGAATTTTTAATTTGTTTCTCCGGCAAGATAACAAACACGTAAACTGCACAGTGAGCGACAAAAACGGCATGGGTCGCCGTAAACATACACTTTCGAAGTGCGTGCGCATTTATCACCCCACAAAGTAAGCTCATAGCCAATTACCGCTCTTCACGATGCGCGCTCGGCAAGCAACGAGGCCCAGCTGTGTACGGTGCAAAAATATGCGATTTGCGCGATAACAATGGGCCTGGCGTTAAGCCACTTGGTCCTTCTCGCCGTGCACATTACAATTTTAAGCCAACTAATTTGTTTCCTGCCTCATCATCGACTAAACTCGCTCCGTGTATAGCACTGATTGACACATAACGTGTTCTGCCGTAGAACAGTTTCGCATTATTTTTTTTACGCTGCAAAAGTACAAACAACGGCAATGTCAGTTTGCCTAGATGAGTGCCAGCCGAAATGAGTGAAATGCCCCGTGGGGTGCCTTCACCATAGTTAACTACGAAACTTACTACCACGTTGTGACAATAAGAAACGTGACAGCTCATTCCAACACCCTTTATAACAGCTTAACATAAATAGGGTTCCCCACATGGTTTTTGGGCGGTCCCGGCCTGAACGCCGCTGGGCCAGTTCAAATTGCCGTTCCCTGCAATTCACCGTTCGTTTCAATTAGGGCGCTTAGTTTCGGGAGAAACGAGTGTTTTGTAGCAAAAAGGGGCCCGTTAAAGGTCTACGAGGTTTATTTATAGAAACACAAAATGCTCCTATGATAACTTACTCAATTCCCCTTTTCAAAAAAAAAGAAAATACTTGTCAGTTGGTTACGAGCGGTGTCGTGATCGAAACCAGTAAACGGTCAGGCTTCCCTCCGAGCGCACTCGTTTACTTAGACGTCATTTGAGGAGGAGGGTGCTCAAACAAATCGATCGAAGGTGGAAGCGCGGCGAGTTGCGGCATTTGTAGGTTGACAGACACGGACAAAGCAAAAAGAAAATACCACTCGACAAAGCAAGAAGAAAAATAGCACTCTGATACTTACTTTGATCACATTAATTGCAATAGTTGAACAAGGGGAAACCACTGTCTTGAGGCATCTGTCGTGAACTACAAAATTACAAACTGGAAAGAGAAAAACGAGAAAAGAGAAGAGATCAGTGTGAGTACGGCACGTAATGTTTTGCTTAGCCAAGTTTATACACAGCACTTCTGATCAAAAGGTGCACTTTAAAGCATCGCTGTCAGGAGTTCTACAAACAACGCGATCGTTGTCCTTGCTGCGGACCGGTTACATAGTCTATCTCGGGGGTCTCAAACACGCGGCCCGCGGGCCGCATGCTGCCCGCGAGCATCCAGCGAGCCCCTGTGGCCATGCCGCTCGAGCGCTACCTGCGCCAAAAATAACAGTTCTATATCGTCGATTAACCTCAGCTTGAAAAGGAACTCTGCTCATATGGCATGTTCACACATTTTGCATTATTGTCTACTTTTGGACTGAGTATTGCTTCGTCTGAATACTTTAATCTCAGCCCGTTGTCAAACTAACCAACCGGCACGGCAATGCCACTCCTAGGTTAAAAGCGCGAGCTCTTTGCTCAATGAGGCACCTCGGCTGCACGAACTCTCGCTTAACGGAAGCAATTGCTAAGGATGAAGCTATTAGTTCTGGCTTCTACCTGTCGGACAATACCCTTCAATATAAAAGAATTTTCCTATAATTCTGCTATATAAATAATTACGAAAGCAAAAACTGTAGTAAGAAGAAATATTTTTGTCTATGCCTGTTGAGCCTATTGAACTGTGCAACAGGGCAAGGACGGCGTGCTTGTACTTGTATTGTTGAAAACTGCGAATACATTGAGGTTTCAAATCGTGCTAAAATATCAGGTGTGGACTCAAAGTAGTTGTATCCGCAAATGAGTTAAAAATGGCAAAACAATGAGCTTAAAAAAAAGCAGCGAGCACAAGAGTCCTTAGAAAATCTCTGAGGTGTCGCTGGAACAGTCGGCTGCTTTGTAAAGTGGACCACTTCTTTATGTATTTGCCCCCCCCCCCCCCCCCTCCCCCGGCCCTTTGGCCCTCAACCTTTTGGGGTGGGCTCTATGGCCCCTACAGTCGAATGAGTTCGAGACCCCTGGCCTATCTTAACACGACGCAAAAGCGCGGTACGAAAGCACGACACAAAAGTGTATCGGCAAAGTGTTGGTAAAATAGGCATGGCATAGATCTAATTTCTGAAGTAATTGGCCTCAACACATTTCGGGAAGAGGAGCCCGCAAGTAGGACAAAGCACTTTGGAAGTGGTAAAGTTAATATTGCACCAAAAAAAGTTAGTTTTCTTTTTTTACCGTTAAAATAAATTACGCGTCACCAAATGCTCATTTTCCGCCCATTTTCCGCTAGAGGTCCGATATAGATGCTGAAGTTTCAGAACTGAATGTTATCAAAGTCGAAGGATGTAAGTGATTTTCTAGAAATTTCAATGGGAAAAAGGCGGACGACGGAGCTGACGAATACATGGAGCTGGATGGCGCCAGTCATCAAAGATGGCCCAAAACGGGCACCATTTTCCCACAAAAATTTAAAAAAAAATCACTCGTAACTTTTGAATGGGATAACGGTTAGTTTGGAAACTTCAGCATCCGGTTCGAACCGCTAGCGCTACACTTGAGGAGACAAATAAGCATTCGGTAATGCAAACTTGTAATTCTTTTGAGGGGGGACACCCTGTACATTGCCGACAGTATTTGCGTGATCGATTAATGGGTATCGTGCAGTTTGACTATTAGAATTACAGTGAAACCTCTCAAGTCGAATTTGTCAGTAACTCGGAAACGGCTCTAAGTCAGAAAATGAACTCTCCCTATTCCTTATGCGCATTATGTGCGATTGCCCTTAAAGCATAAGGAATGGGGATATTTCACTTTAATTGCGTTTAAACCGCTTATATTGAGAATATGAACTCGGCATAGAAGTAGAACGTACAAAATTCTCAAACAGGTTGTGACAAAAAAAAACAAAAAAACTTATATATCTTTTTTTGTGTGTGTGTGTGCGTGAAACTGTTTTTTTCTCAGCCTGCTGCAGAAAATGAGACCTGTATTTTGGTGGAAATGTCTGGTTGAGCAGCCTGGTGGATCATAGATTGTTTTGTTTTCTTTGTCGTTAGTTGGAGGTATATATATATAATTAACCGTTCATTCACTGATTGAATATATATATATATATATATATATATATATATATATATATAACCAATAACCGTTCATTTACTGATTGAAAACCCTTAGAAGACCCGCTCTTCCAGTGTTGCATAAAAAACAGTCAAATAAATAAGGAATAAATATAGAATAAATAAAATAGTTTGAGTAATTTCTCGTGTATGTTTTCATTCTAAAAGGCACCTGAACGGGCTTTGTACAACGTCGTTGCCATATTTAGCAACCAATAAATATTTCAGGCGCGAGCATAGCGACTAACTAAAGAACAGAGAAGTAAAAAAAGAAATGGAGGAGGAGCATCAGGCGAAAACGGTTCCCCCCGGTGTTAAATAATCGCCCCAGCCTCCGGGGCCGAGCTACACGCAAAGGCTCTCACACCCCACCGAACGTTGCATGCATGAATTGGTCGAGCCAGGCAGAAATAGAACGCCTCTCTGTTTTGGCAACAGTCTGAGACGGCAACACCGGTCTAAATTCAGGGAGCTTTTCTGTTTTTTTTTTGCTCCGTCCTCCGCCTCGAGACAACAACTTAGCTGAGTCACTTTGGCGGGCGAGAACGGACGCTCTAAGGCGAAACAAAATAATAACAAACGTGGCGCAGACGACGGCTTTTCGTTCCAATCAAGGCACCATCCCGTGGTGACAGTAAAGGGCAAGGATTTGCTTTTCGTTATTGTTTTATCACTTAGTTTTTGTTTGGCTGCTGATTATTTTTTGTTTGTTTGTCGTAGGATGAAGCTGGAAGTCGGGCTGCGTGTTATCCGGAGCCGTTGCGGGTGGCCCTTTTGTTGTCACCATCGTGACTGAGTGCACGCGCTGTCGTCGTGACATTTGACAGCTACTTGGCGCCGAGTTTGAGATGCTACGAGGGGGTCGAGAATAGTGGAGAAAGACGACGAGATGCGTATGGTCGACAGTTGAACGGCTGCTTCGTGATGAGTGCAATAAAACAAGTCTCGAGCGAAAACTTTTTAAACCCAAACCTCATTTACTCTTTTTTTTTTTCGGCGTTTCAGTGGGGTCATGCATCGGATTTGTTTGGCATCATATTTATTTGCCGTGTTTAGTTTTTGAGACCCCAACGTCAACGTCTGTTGTTCGTTTTTCGGTGAAGTATTTTCTTTACCCTGCTCATTTTTAGGAAACCGTTTTGTAGACACTGGATCGTAATATCGTACTTCGATTGCCTGCCAAAAACTCTCGCCTAAGTTATCCCAATGAAGGTGGCTTTGTAGTGTCAAGTGTCGATATATAATTAGTAACTTATCTCTTAACTCGTTAAAACCGGAATGGACCTTTTTCAAAAAGAATTCTGCAGATGCGCAGGCCTTCCTCTCACAGCGGCGAAAGTTCTAACTTCGGCTCGCGTCTGGAAGAATGGTTTCACTACCTCTCCTGTCACTTCTAAAACTCGGATCAGCCAAAGAGAAGGCAGGATAGGTACTCCCATTCCATCCACCAACCCTGGTTAGAGTTTTAGCCACTTGGTGTCGTCTTTATGTGAATTGTGCATTGATGTGAACACTTTCAACAAAATGTCCGCGTCCGCAAAGTCACTAACAGCCCAATAACTGTGACCTGCAGAGGGACATGAGGAAATGAAAAAGACCTGTACTCTGTTTCACCTTACGAAGAATCCCAGCGGACGCTACATGCCGTCAGAGCAAATCCGCGTAAGTGGGACGTAACTTTTGGGAAGAGGCAAAGTGACGTGCGTTGTCACGTGATACGTTCACAGCGCTGGATAGGGAAAGATGGCTCGTAAGGTTTGCTGCAAAGTTAAACGTGAAATTTAAAAAAAAGAAATATTCCGCAAACAAACAAAAAAGGAGGCCGGCTTTGAGACAGCAAGCATTACGTCTTACACGCTTGCGTCGTGCTCGCTGTCACATCGCAAACTTACTTTCCTGGCCCGATTTTGTTTTCAGTTTTGCCATTGTTTATTATTGTTCCATAGTTCCCAGTGCACGGCAATGCCATTGTATGCGGACATAAATACGGAAGAAAGCCTCTCTGTAGTTGGTCAGTGGACAGAGACTTGAGTGGCCATAATTAAGACACCGAAATTACAACGATCCTGCACCGCTGGACGCAACGAAATAATTATAAGAGAGAACCCGGCGTACCCCGGGGGTTTCTTTTCTTTTGACGTGCGTCATCCTAAAAAGAACGCGGGATCGATAAGCGGCGAAGATAAGATGTCGGCAAATCGATATCGACAACATAAAAAAGAAGCCTTCTTCAAAAGCTAAAAAGAAGTAAAAAAGGCAGCGAGGCACGTAAAGAAAAGAAACGAGTGCAAGTCATTCCGTACATGCATACCCTATCTCATAATCTGAAAAAGGTAGCTGGTCGATACGACATTAACGTGGTTTTTTCTGCACCGTGTAAACTTGCCAGGATATGTCCGATGTTGACAAGGCAGAAAAAGGCACCGTGCTCCAAGAAACACGCGGTGCAATATACTGCGTGCGTCACCAATGTGGTGTACGATATTCCGTTTAGTTGTGGCAGAGTCTACATTGGGCAGACTGGGAGCTGCTTCAATGATAGAGCACGTGAACATAATTTGTGTGTGCGCAACAACGCGGGGGGCCATCTCGCTGACCATTGTGGGCGATGTGGATGTAAACCTGACCTGACTGGCACAAAGTTTTTAAGAAAGGCAAAGGAAAAAACGGAAAGAGAGATTATAGAGGCATTCTACATAAAAAAGAAAGAAAACAATTGCGTCAGCGCTCCGTCTTTGTATTTGCTCCAGAGTGAGATGGTGTTTCTGGAAGGTTGGCTCTGATTGTCGCGATTGAATCCGATGTGGTTTGGGCAATGTGTATATATAGGTGACAATGGTGTTAATAAAAACCAGTTGAGAGTGAAGCGCCTGTCCTGTCGTCCGTGTTT